AATTAAAGATCTTTTATAGGTTCTATAAGTGGATTATATGTTGGCTTTGTATTTCTGCTTGGCAATGCAACACCTGAATGCAGGTAGTTAAATGAAATCAGGCTTCCATATATAACCTCCTATAAGAGGTTTATCTGGAGGTGATTTTAACAAAGGGAGCAGAAGGAGAATTTTATTTGTATGTGAGAATGGAACAGGTGGACAGGTATGCCTGCATGCCTTTCGGTGAGATAGGGAAATCCCAGCACATTAATGGCTAGTGTACATGGGTATTTGAGAACAGCTTGCTTATGTTCCTCTATAGAAGAACATTGCATAAAAAGTACGGTAAAGACAACAAAAATCATGTTCACTAGAACAAATTCATGTTCACTAGACTTTAGGAAGCGAAGTTCATGAGATAGGGTTGATTCTACTTGCACAAGGTCCATGCAACTAAAGGTTACTGGTCCTTCTATGTTTCAAACAACTGTGCTAAATTGTGGAACAGTCATTATAAAATATTTCTTCAGCTATCCTAATAATTCCAATGCTAACAATCTACGGAAGTTATCAAGAATCTACACCAAGGGGCAGACAAACTCCCGCCCTCCAGCTGTGGTGCAATTACAAATCCCATTAGGCATTGCAAAACTCTGACGGCCACAGACATGGCTCCCAGAGGCAGAATCATGATGGGATTTGTGGTTTCATCAGAGCTTAAGCTACAGAGTTTGTCTACCCCTGACCTATAATAAAGTGTGCTAAAATTGGAAAGTCTTAACATCGCTGGAATTTCCCTTTACACTAAACACTACAATAAATCTATTATACACACATAAAGTATGGTTTTAAGTGGCAGTGTTTTCATTGACAACAGAGAGCTCTAATCTGCTATTAGGATCAAATGTTGAATGAAGAAAGGTATTGTTCAATTTTCTTCTGTAAAATATCTGCATAGACTGCGAGACTTTAGGTTTTGCTGGCAATAACTTGCCAATGATGGATATCGTTATTTGTTTGTGCTAATCTATAACCAACTTCAGAACTTCTTCCTTCTACTCTTCTGTTTTTTCTGTTGGTAAGCCTGACAGACTTCTGCAGTAGTAATGTCTGTTATAAATGTTTTACATTGTTTACTGAACACTGCCTGACTGTGTACACTGTGCTGTACATTATATACTTTACACTGCTCTACTCCGTGTGCTGTACATTATATACGTTACACTGCTCTACTCCGCGTACTGTGCTGTACATTATATGCCCACTCTGCTTCACTCTATACACTGTGCTTTACATTATATACTTCACACTGTTCTACATGGTTTACTGTGCTTGAGGTGGGGTGGGCTGGGGGTATGGACGCAAGAGAGCTCCATCCATACGTGCATTGCTTACAACTCCCTCATGTGCCCTGTAGAGGTGCCTGGACCGGAGTGACATCACATTCTGGCTCCCGCCACCTCTACAGGGCACGCAAGGGGACTGTACAAGCAATGTATCCATCACAGCACAGCAGCCCACACTGGAACCCAGGCTGGGGATGCACTCCAGTTCTCATAAAGTAGGGAGACTGGGTGGACCCCAAACGCCCCTTCCTCCCACATTTCGATCGCCTACACTGTACTACAATGCTGTGCGTTCCAGTGCAGTGCGTCTTGGGTCGCGATTTAATGGTCAAGGACAAATGTGGATCATGAGGTTACCCAGGTTGAGAACCACTGCTTTACATTGTTCTACTCAGTGTAGTGTACATTATATACCCATTTTGCGTCACTCTGTACACTGCTGTTCATTATATACTCGACACCACTTCACTGTGTACACTATTGTATAATATATACTCCATGATACTCTGTGCTGTATATTGTATATACCTCTCCAGTTTGTGTACTGTTCTTTACATTTTATACAACACTGGGCACCACTCTATACACTGTGCTGTTCACATTATACAGTTAGCTGTATGTTATGCAGGCACACTTTTTCTGGTTAATAGTACAGTATTTCTTCGTGAGCATACAGCAACAGCTGCCCACTGTTTTTTCTTCACCAACAACTCTTCTGCTGGCTGACCTTTGGAAGATGCATCCTATCACTGCATGACGTTGCAGGCATCTGAGGTTTAAGACCTTTGCATGAGCCTTTGCGTGGGTACTTTACAGCATTCCGTGGGTGCCTTAGAACTAGGAGGAGGCATACTGTATGTTTGATACCTGCTCTCTTGACATCAGAGGCCTTATATATTACCTGTAATGCAGACTGTCTGCTTAGTGGCATCAGAGTCCTTGATGACCAGAAAGATTTTAAAAAGCCTAATTTCTAATAGTGAAGAATAAATGCTGGTCTTAGATAAAGGGCACATGGGAGCCACAATCATGTATTTTCAGATATCAGTGTCTGTTTACTAGAATTGATAATTATGTCAGCAGAATCTCTTATTCTGGTGTATCGGCATTAGACAGATTTGCTTGTTTGTATTTCCTACTAGTAGTATCCAAGATTAGCATAAACGAAGCATTGGCAGGTGCATAAAGCCTTATTAGCGATGAATAAAACAAAAATGTATTTACACTGAAGAATATCTAATTTGAATTTATTTTCTACTTTGCAGCATCTGGGGACCAGACAGCTCACATCTGGCGCTACGTGGTTCAGTTACCCACTCCACTGCCAACGGCAGACACCAGTGTAAGCTCACCACTGAAATGACATTATGCTTAAGGGTAGCAGACTGAGGTGGTAGGGGAAATAGTGATGTTTGCTTCAGTTACCACATGATTGTATCTAATGGCATACGTTTCCTCTGACATGAAATGGATAGCATGAAATAAGTACAGCATGAAATAAGTACAGGCCTTAAGGTAGATCTGCTTTCTTACATTATTACTGTCAGAGATAGTTATGCACATTCCCTTAATGCAGTGAATCAGAGCCGTAACGACAGATTTTGAGGCCTTACAACAAAAATGTGATGGGGCCCTCTTTTTGAGCTGTGAGTAACGATGCCAAGATTCCAAAGACTCCTCTTGTGCATCTGAAGTCGTCTCTACACTGCAGACTTTACAGGGTATTAGATTTGTGATGAACTGCAACCACTCCAACCCTTAATGATACAGTGTGCTATTATCTACACATGTTCTTTATTTATTTGCCTCAACTATGGCTTTAGTTACTTCACTGCAGTTAATCTCTATCATTTAAAATACACCTATGATAAAAATTATAGTCCTTTCATTTCTTTGTAAGTGGGCAAACTTACAAAATCTGCAGGGGATCAAATCATTATTTTCCTCACTGTAACAATCTCTGGGGAAAAAAAATAATCTATGGGGAATATTGAGAAAGTTAGACGAATGAGGGGTAGAGGTGTGCGAGGGGGGGCAATTTAGACTTGTGTCTTCTTGAAGTCCCATTTTATTTTTAATATCTGCCTTCTTTATGGTGGTACATTGGAAATCGGAAGATGCCAACTACTGTTTTCTTTGTACAAGTTGGTAAATAAATGCCCCTGATTGGCTGCTTTGGGCGTTCAGTTTTTAACAGGAATAACAATATGTTTGGTTTGCAAGTTGTGTACTATTTTCTCTAGCTCTAAATTATGTGATTTATTTCAGCAGATTTCTGGAGAGGAGGAGGTGGATTTTTCAGATAAAGATGAGGGTGACCCGGATGGAGATATTTCCAATGATTGTCCCACTGTCCGAGTTCCCATCACATCCCTGAAAAGCCATCAGGGAGTGGTCATAGCAGCAGATTGGCTGGTTGGCGGCAAGCAGGCAGTCACTGCGTCTTGGGACAGGACAGCCAACCTGTATGATGTAGAGACATCTGAGCTGGTCCATGCTCTAACAGGTAGGATCTGAATTGTCATTTTTCTGACCATAGCAATTTTAGGTGGCTTAATTTTTCATGTAACTAGAAGTCTCAAAGGATCAGATGCATCAAAGTATTAGGCTTTATCCCCTACATTTTCACTATTGTGGGCCAACACTGGCCTACAGACATCTGTAATATGCAATACATTTCACTCATCGTACTGTTCTACACTGTTCCACTAAGGCAGTCGGGTTTTTGTAGTGGAGTTACGTCACTTCACCTTCACTGGAGCATGGATGGCCCCGTGGCTGTCCCTATAATAAGGCAGCCTCTGAGGGGGGGGGGGGGAGGGGCAGCAGCAAGCTGGATGGCATGGGTGCTCTGCTGCACAATGTTTACCAGGTGCCTGCTGCCCCCTTTCCTGCCAGAGCATTCCAGGTTGCTAAGAGGCGGGCGGGGAGATGAGTGAGGGCCATACACATTTCTCCACCCAGTGCTTAGCATCCTGGGACCCTCTTGCCAGCTTCCTGCTGAGCTCCTTCCAACCAGTGACATCACTGATTGCCACTGGACACCTGCAAGGATGCTGGCCAGAGCATCACGCCACACTCCTGGCATTCAGTGATGTCACTGGTTTCTAGGTGCTCGGTGGTTCTCTGTACCCTTAGTGTTGCTGTAAAGCTAGATAAAACATGCATTTTACAGTTTGGCAAATGTAAAATATTATCTTGACAATACATATTGGACAAGTAAGTATCTAACACCTTGCAGCGAGCATGCCAGTTTATACATTTTCCACAAAACATTTTTCCTCCTAAAATGATGTGCACTGTCACATGTTCCAGGAGGTAGACCCAGGGTTCCAGATAGTAAAGGGAGATGGATTAATCTGCGCTTAGTAAAAATGGCCCCTGTGAGAAGAATGGGGAGGGGGAAAAAAAACCTAAGGTATGCAAATAATAAAAAATCTGCAATTCTTATAAGAATCTGTAGATTGCCATTGCTATACATTTCTAAAGGGGCCACTGTTTGCCATTTTCAGAATAAGGGTGAAGTTCCTCTTCAAATGTAAGTCAACTTAACACATGAGTAAACTGAAAAAATTACATTGCGAGCAGTTAGGCTTTGTATTGTATTAGATACATGCAGTGTCCGTTCTGCAATAAATTAACTTCCTGCCTGTTCATCAACATCTTTAGAATGTACTCTGAGCTCCCCATGGTTGGGGAAGCTGTCATTGCCAGTGAGGGGAGGCGAGTTTACTTCCATTTTAGGTCTTTATTAGAAAAAGAAATCTAGTTGGTTGCGATCACTCTTCATCTCTTGTGTTTAAATGATTATACAGGTGAAACTCGAATAATTAGAATATCGTGCAAAAGTAATTGCAGTAAGTGCTGCAAAAGGGGCCCAAACCAAGTACTGAGTACATATGCATGCTTGTACTTTTCAGAGGTCCGATATTGTTCTATGTACAATCCTTGTTTTATTGATTGCATGTAATAATATACTTTTTTGAGGTTGTGGATTTGGGGTTCTTGGGGTTTTCATGAGCTGTAAGCCATAATCATCACAATTATGACAAATCACGGCTTGAATTATCTTGCTTTGCATGTAATGAGTCTATCTCATATATTAGTTTCACCTTTTAAGTTGCATTAGTGAAATGAACTTTGCACGATATTCTAATTATTCGAGTTTCACCTGTATGAGGTCATGTTGTCTGAATTAGTTGTATGTCTAAAATATGAAAGCATTTTTTTTCAATAAAACGTGAAAAGTTCAGGAACTAGAGACAACCACTCAGCTCCCATTATGCTGAAGTCTGACCAAAAAAATAACTTTGAATGTGTTCTGTGAATTACTGAACTTGAGCTGATGCAGCAAAAGTATATTTATGGTTTTAGAGAATTTCACTAATGGATCTATATAATATGTTTTCTGGTTCAAGGTCATGACCAGGAGTTAACCCATTGCTGTACTCATCCCACACAACGCCTAGTGGTGACGGCTTCCCGAGACACAACCTTCCGCCTGTGGGATTTTAGAGACCCATCAATACATTCTGTGAATGTTTTCCAGGGACACACGGAGTAAGTGTACATTTCCCAATACTGAATTTCATTAAGACAGATACATGATGTTTATGCTTCGTATATTTTATTATTGCATCATAGCCACACCTTTGAGGAATTCTATGCGTTTGCAATAATGTTTTGGTGTAAGGTAAATGTTTATAGCTTATGACACTGATGTGTAGGTTGAATTTGATGGACATGTGTCTTTTTCCAACCTGACTAACTATGTATGAAGTTTTTAGTTCTCACATACAGTATCATATAACAGCAGAAATCATGTGACCAGTTTTGTTTCTTTAGTGATGTAGGGTTGAAGTCGATTCCCCTCTGATGGCGAACTCTTTAAAGGCTTTAACTCTAAATATGACATTACACTGGTAGATTTTCATGCAAACATTGGTGTGAAAAATTGTCACAACATTCAACAATGTCATCAGAGGCCTGACAAATGTCATTTGAAAATGTGTTGAATTTTTTCCCCCAATACATTCTTATTGCATATTTCAAATTCTACAAAGTAACTGAGTACAATACATACCATTGATAGAAAAAAGGAAATCGACGAATGCC